AGGTTATTTAGCAGAGTAAGATGCGGAAAATTTATCTTGTTGAAAAAAGTTGATTGTTTTAATGATAAAATCGCAGTGTTATCGTTGATAAGGCAACAAAGTGGCAATTGACTCACTTGGCCAACTCGTGCTCCCATTCTGCATAATTGGCCTCGAACTGGAGAAGCTGAGAAGAGGCGCTCTGTAAGCGCTTGTTTACTGAGCTTGAAACTTCAGCCAGATTTGCTAGAGCGGCACACCAGCCCTAAAGCAAGAAAATGAAAAATAAAGAGTATTGCAAAAAAATAAATTCTATGAAATGAGTTTAAAATATATTTAAAAAAAGAAAGGTGGATAAAGTAGAACGTGCGAAGGGAAATGGAACTAGGAAAAGGAAGACTATATGTATGAGAAAGGCTAAAAAAATCATAAGGATAGAAAGATAGATGTTAGTGCAGGCTCATTAGCGAACAAAGCTTATAAAAAAATGTATAAAATATAACCGATAGACTGAAGGATGGGGACAGGAAGTGAACGAAAGAAGGATGAGGTGTAAATTTCGCATGATTATTAAGAAATGAAATCAGAATGACTAAATATCTAAGAGAAAGCCGAACTAACAAGAAAGTCCCAGATATAACTAAAGAACTAAGCAATGGGGGAAGCTAATTAAGGGAATTTATAGGATAGGGGATGAAAATGAAACTAAGCAAAATCTGTTAGAAAATTATTTTTGACATTTAAGTCGCAAGCTACAAGATTAATCATTGATGGAGTAAGGATGAAATGCATCGTACGCACCTATGTTGTTGTTTCAAAAGAAATTAAAATGCAAAATACCTCGCTACACTGAAAGCTGTGTATTTACTTTCAATCCATAATCAGTCTGGCTACATCTCTCACGAATTCCTCTTGATCAGCTGTCGGTTGGCTAAGGTAATCTCTTTCTATTCCGCTGAAAACGTGATAGGCTTTCGTGCGTCGTATGACAGACATCATCAGATAGGGGTGCCATCCTTACAACCATATTCAAGCTAACGAGTCAAGAAAACTCATCGGCTCATTCCTAAAATGCTGCATATATACTTTATGTCTGAGCACTTTAATGAGGTATAAAATGATTTGGTTAGTTCCAGTC